AAGTATATCCAAATGATCATATATATGAAGCATTAGGTTTTAATGTCTTCTAGGCATTTCCTGGAGGTTTAAACTCAGCAATAGTCCCACAAACTACTGTGTAATAACTGTATCACTTCAGAGCTTTTTCATTAGTAAATATTTTTACATATAAATTGATTACAGTAATTCCAGTGATCAGTTCTGTTTCTTATTAATTCTGCTGCCTGTGTGCTGAAGGCCCTTAGTCCTGAGATCATTATGCCCCTGGTGAATCATGTACTGCTCAAAAACACAATAACAAAATGCAAAACCACCCAAATGTCCGTATTCTAGGGATTTCGCTATCACTGTGTATGATGAAGAGCTGAATAAAGAATTAGAGAGATGAGCCATTCATACAGTGAAAAGATTAAGTATTTAATACTAGAAATATCACACCTAAAATTGGCATCATGAAAGTTTCTTACCAGCGTCATAACCCCCATTCTGTCCATCTCCCTGGCTGGACTGCGAGGGGTGAGTTTAGGAGTTGAGTGTCCACTGGGAGGAGATGAGCTTGCAAGTGACGATGCCGTCACGGAGCCAGTAATAGATGTACCTTGGTGGACTCTGGCTAGATTTAAGCCTTCCAGACTCACACTGGCCACTCTGTTCTCTATCTCTTCAGCACGCAGTTCTGTCGACTCTTTCTCTTCTTGGATTAACCTTATTAATAAAAGAAGAACGTGATGGTATTTGTCTTTGCATACTCCAAAAGCAAAACTAAAACCCGTTTCCTTAAATGAGATTTGAAAGTAAAAGAAAACAAAGATAAATATCATAGAAGAACTCTCAAATAATATGGAAAAGGGTATTTTTTTAATCACTAGAATTATAAAATTCTTTTTCTTAATTCTTCCATCCTCAAAAACTGTTTGAAGAATCTGCCCAACAACAAGACTTGATGTATGACATTGCAGGAAGATTGGTTCCTTTGCAAAGGAGGCAGTATATGGGAGGGGGTTAACAATCCAGTTTACTGTCGGAAACTAATTCCAGTCTTAAATTGGCTTCATCTGATTTTCTGTTGCTAAAACACAAACACAAATTTAAAGTCAAATGAAATCGGGCCTTTAAGAAGGGAATTACTAAAATAATCCATATTAATAAAACAAGAGAACATGCAAAACAAAGTGTCCATTTCATCCCTACAGATTGATGAAAAAATGACGGTTGTTTCTACAGCATTGAGATTTTAGGTGAATTTCATTAAAATAGCTCTCTTGTTAGCAACAAATATAAGCTTCTTAAACATATATAACTCCATAGGATGAGGCTGGGTTTTGTAGTTTTGTTTTTTAACTGTGGTTGCACTTAGAATGAAAACATGTGTTTAAAATAAAACATTTGTTTATAAATCCTTTGCCCATAAACTGATGTGAGGAGGACTCTTTTTGCAAAGAGGAGGCAAAAGTATGAGGGATCAAGGTTAAATGAGAGAATACAAAGTTTGGTGAGGCTGAAACTGTGAAACAGGCTTTTCTGAGTGAAATGAAGTACGTGCAATAAATGAAACTGTAATACATTGAAAATAGAAACCCACAAATTCCTGTGTTGTGATAAATCTTCTTCCCTAACAGCCATTTCAAAATTTCTATAAAATGTCTACAGTTCTTTCTGAAATGAGGCATGACAGAAACTTATAGGCAAATAATATTTTAAAAGGGAACTATAACAACATTTTATATTTCCCTAATGTAAATTCTGAATCATCTGGTATAATAAAACAAGTCTAAAGCAAAATACATTTTTAATCTCCTTTGATATATCAAATCATTTGATAAACCCTTACAGTGTTTTTCAAGAAAAAGAAAAAGAAAAAAAAACTAAACCAAGAAAATGTGAAATGCAGTACAGTTTACAAGACTATCCTTGTAGAACCATTTTTTCTGAAACATATAAAAAAAGAATACAAAATTAGTTACCTGGTTCTTTAATAATGGTAATGATGGTAATGAAAGCGTATACTTCAGGATAAACTTAGTAGTAGGGGAAATAAACTACTCTCAGTGGACTTCCAGTAAAAATGGCTATATACAATGTGCACCCTTGCATCATTTCTGAGGTAAACTGTACCTCAGATCTAAGTCAAGATCTTGTGTTAAATAAAACAGTGATCTGATTCAGGGTGGCACAAATAATATCTCACTGTCACCTGCAGGTACAATCCCTTGTGAAAACCTTTTATTGTATTAATGTAATGTTACTTACATAATTATTACTTATTAAATTGTGCAAATGCTAGTATTTTTTAAAACAAATATATTCTTTGCATCTATAACTTCCTGAATCTGTCACAGTGATGATTTCTTTGTAATAACAGAAAATATGGATAAGGTTCTCTCTTTTACACACACTGTTTTAAGGAGATTTAGCCTCCTAACAACAAAATTTCTCTCTGACACCCTGTCTTGACAGGTGTAATAAGAGGTTTGAGAAAATAGCAATTTAATCCTATCTGAATTAAGAAATTCTGGGAGTAGTGAAAATGCAAAGCTGTAGATCTATAACAAAAAAGTCTCTCCTGAAGAGTTATTCAAATTCAATATATTCCAATAGAGTTCTCCCTTTAAAGTTACCTTGCTCAGAGAAAGACCGAGATCTGGCAAAACGTAATCTGGTTTTGATTATATTTCTAACTACAGTCTTTCTGTCTATAGCATTACATTTAGTAACACCTCCTCCATCTCCTTCTAGAGAAACAGTCACTCATGAGAGGATATTTTTCATACACCAGGTTTTTTTCAAGTTAGCCTTCCTGAAAAACTTGTAGGAATGCTTTAAGTCTAAAATATGGTTTCATTTATAAAAATCATTTAATTAAAATATGTCATTGGATTCTCTGTCACTCCATTAAATTTGCACAAAAATTCATATATATTTGATTCATCACCTATTTCCAAGCACTATAATCCAACCTGCAGCATGAAAAAATCACATTCTATGCCCCCATAGAAAATCAAAACGATGTCTTGGAAAATGTGGCTTATATTAGATGTAACATAGGAATCATTACCAGAAGAAAGCATGATGGGCACTGAAATAAAATATTTCTGATAGGAGGTCATCACTGAGTAAGTGGAGCCATGCAGAACAGTGAAAAAGACCTTGAAAAGAGGTCTATGAATAGTGATCTGTCAAATCTGCCATGTGTTAGCCTTCTCTAATGTCTTTCTTTTCAACTGGCCAGCAGTTCTTCACTTGGAACATTTTTTGAAAGAACTTTCTATAGTTAGAAAATGAAGACGCCATTGTTCTCTTCACACAATCAATACTCTTCCTATGAAAAGCAGACACATTATCAATCCTTTAAATGTACAAATGGTCTCCTAATTGTTATGAATGGTACCTGAACTCATGCACTAAAGGAAGCTTGAATCGTTGTAATCGTTGTAATCGTTAAGTGCATCACAGCTGGTTCAGGCTACGCACCTGATTTCTTTATTGATTGCATCTAGCTGCTCCTGAAGCATCATGGCCAGAGTCTGGGCGTCGGAATGGCCGCTTGGTGACAGAAGGTCCATGGAGCTGAAGAGCGTTTCTCTGTCATCATCATCAATGTCGGACATTTCAGTGTCGCTTTCAAATGGATGACTGCTCAAAACGCCAATCTGCTGTGTCCTATTCCACTCGTGATCTCCAAGTGATTTTACCTGAGCAGGAATTAGGATGTATATGGCTTATTCCATGGAAACAACTGCAAAGTTGAACTTTTATAAAATGGGAAAGGAAAGTGACTAGCATTTAAGAATACTTACTCAATGACTAATTCTCCATTAATACTTGCAATATTATCACAGATGATGTAAAGTATTTTCACATAATTTCTAATGGTGTGTAAAATTACTATCAGGAAAACTTACACAAAAAGATACCCGGAAAAAACAGCTAGTCAAGTATGCTTGAACTTTGATTGAACTTCAACCTTTTCTGCCTTCATTTTAGTACAACGGTACTCTTGTCTGAGCATGTGTAGAAAAAAAACCCCTGCTATTTGGGTTGGGTTTTCTTGTTTGGTGGGTTGGGTTTTTTTTGTTTTCTTTTGTTTTTTTTTTTTCCTGGAAAAATCACAAACTGTAAGCTTAACAGCTTGAAATACATTGTTTCATCAGGCAATATATGAAAAGAAATGGGGGATTAACCTTCGGTTCATCTCTGCGAACTCCCATCCGTCCTCTTCTAGGTCGCCTTATCACTTTAGTTGACCGATAGTCAGACTGGCTTTCAACCAGGGAGCCCACAGAGTACCTCAGCTCTGCTGATGTGTCAAGGTGAGGCCTATAAAAAGAACCGCATAAGGAGACTGAGAGTAATAATAATAACAACAACAATCCAATGACCTTCACTCTAGGAACACAGTTTTCTTTTTTTAAACAAAAAAATTATTACGTATCATATTATAAATTACAAAAACACATCACAAAATATAATTTAAAAGTGAAAACTTGAAATTATATTACAAGAAAATTAAGGAAGAAAACAAACAAATAAAACCTTTGATTTTTCAAAATGGAGAACTTGCACAGTAAAACTTATTGTCCAAGACTTTAACATGAAAAAACAAGCAGATTTCAGGATAATTAAGAGAACTGGCTGCTGAATGTACTATCCTGTATATTTTCCTTCCATTACTCTCCTGAATAAATATGCCTGAGGTTACTGTAAGCACATTACATGTTCATGAGTGAGGATATCTATAACACTTTCCTACTGTAAGTCTATGCTCCACATTATGAAAATATTAGTGAACTGCTCTGCAATATATAACATCGGTTATGAATGATACATCTGTATTTGATGATGCTTTTGAGAGTTTTAACCCCCAATTTTTCCTAATGAAAAAATAATTGTTAGATATAATTGATAGAAAAATAAATATGGTAATATGCTGATCAACTTCAGCATTAAAGACAATGGTTTCAACTTTATTTTTAAGGTCTTCTGGGAAAAAAAAGGGTATATGGATATAGTAGTCTTGGGATACTGTGGTGAGGCATATACATGATGACTTCAGTATACATTTTCTTGGCTGCAGACCATGGTCCCTGGCCTTTCTGTCCTTGGTGAAACAGCAGCAGTAGAAGTTCCCTGCACGGTGCAACAGAGCATCCTGCCTTAGGGGCTGTGTAGCTGAGTCAGAAGAGCAAAGGCTCTGTGCACCATTTGAGCATTCAACCACAGCAGTGGAGACCTGAACAATTTCTAGTTCTTAACACATAAGCAACCTCCACATAGAAATATATGAACAGCATGATTATAGTAGAAAAATGAAATGTAGCAAATACTATCCTAATAAGAAAACTAAGTATTTGTTTGTAGAGACTCCTAAAATATGCTTGACATTTCACTATCTATAAGAGCATAAAATGAGAGTTTAATGTTGTACTTACTTTGTTTTTCCCCTAAACTTGGCAAAAATGATCGCAGTCACCTACAGACAACTCATAGGTTTCACAGCAATGTTAATAATCAGTTTTGGGAAACAAAATAGGAATAAGTTTTGTCCTTAAACACTTTTCTCACTTTTAAAAGAATGCTGCTCAAGAAAATGATGGCTTTAATCCTAGACATGAAAAAGTTAAACAAGAGAATGTCTGCTTCGCCAAATGAAGAAAATAATTCAGAAATCCACATATATCTATGCTGAAAAGTGCAGGCTGTAAGCATGACTGTTTTCCTGGGCTCTAGTTCTGTGTCTGTTTCTAATCACAGAGATTCACTTTTCCTTGAGAAGAACTTAATTTGAATTAAAACACACTCATACTTGGCAGACTGAAGCATTGGTCTCAAATTTCAAACATCACTTTAATAAAGTAAAAGTGAAAGATAAAATATTATAATTGTGGTGCCTGTTTATTGATAAATGTGAAATGCAAAAAGATCATGGAAAAACATGAAAGCCTCTACTACAAGGTGCTTTGACAGAATGGTATGAAGAAACATAATTACTGTCTGGTATTACGAGTGCTATGACAAATCTAAAATTATAATGGAAGGATTTCAAGTGCTAATAGTTTTTTTTATAAAAAATAAATACCGTAAGAAAACAAATTAAAAAAAGAGGTACTGGAATTCCTGAAATATATGTGCCATAGCAATCAAATCAGATACATTAAAATGTCACAGATACTGAATAATGTTTTAGAACTTGGGTTCTGGGTAAAGCATACATCAGAGCTCATGCTGTTGTCATGAATCTCCTTTTCTGAACAACCATCAGTTTATCTTCTCTTAAGCCTCCTGTCATGCCTGGTAGGAATTTCCATAATTTTAGAAAAATTACAGTTTTAACTTCTAAAAAATTCTCTAAAACTCACTGTTGTCATTATATTAATAAAAACAATTGACAACAGTCGGGCTACAAAAGTACTAAGCCGTCCATCTATAGCACCAGACAGATAATCTTTTGGGATTTTTGTGTGTTTAGTTTGTCTAGATGTCTCTCATCTGTTACATAGGAAACCCTTTAGGGCAGTGGCTGGTTTTTGTTTTCTGTGTACAGTATTTGCTGTAATAGAACTTTGTTCTGATAGCTGATAATACTTGGCACTTGTGCAGCAAGTTGTCAGGAAAAAAGACAAGCTCCAGTCTCTGGCAGCAGATATTTATCTGCTGACCTGCTTCATTATTCTGCTGAAAGAACAAACTCCTGCAAATACAGAACTGAATATGGGCTGAGAACAATACGTATTTAATGCTGATAGCTCCCTTATTCTTGAGAGGGCTGGTAGCTTCGCAAGGTGATGTCATGGAAAGGGAAGTATACTCTTTTAGGGGAACCTGCTGAATTCCCAAGATATTTAGACAGCTTATCAAGTTCAAAAAGCCCTTTGACAAGCACTAATCAGAATCCTATTTACAGAGCACAAGCTAGTGATACTCATCTACCCAGCAAGAAACGCTGCTGTTCACCAAGGGTGGCTGCTCCAAAAACATCTCCGCTGTTTGTTGCAGCAGTTCAATAGTCTGTGTCCTCACAAGCATTCTCAAAAAGTATTCAGTGTGCCTGTAGTCACACTTGCACTCCCCAAGGAACAAAAATTCAAACAGTTACAAGCATTACATTCTGAATTTAATTGATTTACACTTCTCCATGTATAGAAAAATATTATTCCAAGAGATAGTAAAGGGTTGAGGGAGGAACCATGAGCAAACTGTCTGAGGAAACAATGGGCAGACAATACCTGATGGAAGCAAAAAAAAAAAATATCCATGAATAACTTTAGAGGATTACAGTGCTCTGTATTTAGTCTTGGTCCATGAGCTTTGCTTGGCAGGTTTTATAAGTTAACATGTTGCTTGTCATGGAAACAGGACATGGCACACAATTACCAATAACGTAACAATTTTATTTTGAGGGATACTTTCAGGCAAGAAGGACTTCCTAGAATTATAAATTAATTTCAGCTGTTAGTAGCTATTTTTATCTGTCTCACTAATGTTCCCATATTGCTTCCACCAAAAAAAAGGTATAATCTTTAATGTCCTGTTACAGTATTTTCAGATCTCTCTGAATACTGCCTTCATCATTAGCTGAAGATCTGTAGTCTTATGCTACACACTAAGCAAAGCTGAGTTATTTCTTGCTAATGAAAAAATAATTGTTAGATATAATTGATAGAAAAATAAATATGGTAATATGCTGATCAACTTCAGCATTAAAGACAATGGTTTCAACTTTATTTTTAAGGTCTTCTGGGAAAAAAAAGGATATATGGATATACTTTTGAAAACATTCCATAATTTAAAAGACTTTCCTTAATCTCAGTAATATTTCAGCATTTACTCACTGCTATAAGGCCTCATTTACCTATGAAAAAAGTGAAAAGCAACAGTAATAATTTTACATTTTTAAAGAAATACATTACCATTTTTATATGTGGTCTGAACACATCCCTGTTGTAAAGGCTTGACACTTATACTTATGTTCTATTTCAACTCAAAGTGAGGAAACTTTTGTTGTTAAATATTACCTTGACAAGGTGGGTTCGATTAAAGAACCAGCCCTCAATTTCATTTGATCCAGTTCAGATCTCAGTTTCTCAATTTCTTCAGCAAGTCTTTCCTGGAAGTGAGAATAGTAAGATACGCTTGTGATACAAAATACATTTACTTTATGAGATACTGCTTGTGTAAAGCTAAACAAGTAAGATAAGATACTCTGAATGTAGCACCGACTATAATAAGAAAAGGCAATGAACTCATTCAAGTCTCGTTATTGATAATAAGACATGCGCATCAAGGATGTTGTATAGCACTCTACTGTTTTTCCACTAGCTGGAAGTGATGGCAGGGCAGGTTTGTCCTTGGAACTTTTTTTTTTTTTTTTTTCCCAGCTAGAAGCTAAACAAGTAAGATAAGATACTCTGAATGTAGCACCAACTATAAGAAAAGGCAGTGAACTTGTTCAAGTCTCATTACTGATAATAAGACATACGCATCAAGGATGTTGTATAGCACTCTACTGTTTTTCCACTAGCTGGAAGTGATGGCAGGGCAGGTTTGTCCTTGAAACTTTTTTTTTTTTCTTCTTACACAGCTAGGGTAAGGAAAAGAAGAACCAGCACTGATTAGTGCCCTAACTGCACTCTCTGTGCCAGGCATAGTTCTGTGGGCGAAACACCCTTTGCCCTTTAGAGACCAAGATATATATCTTACTGATAGATACACAGACTTAGGCACAACCACATTTTAGGTGACTTGTTGAACTGTAGCTTTACAGCTTGCTCTTAGGAGTTGATGAGACTCCAGTATGAGGTGCTGCTAGTGAAAAACGACAGTGTGCCACAAAAATTGAATTTTTGGAACAAACTCACAAAAAGGATATTGACAGCAACCACTAGGGAAGACAGCACTGATGCCAAATTGTACAAAAAATTATCATCTACTAATCAAATGAGAAAATTTTAAAATAAATCAAGAGAGAACATGGAATACAGATGTAACACTGCGGTTCCTAGAGTTTAAAATGTTCAGGATTCCAAAATGCTAGGAAGGAAAAGGACCTGCACTTAAGTGATATCACATTCAGTAATTCTTATCACAGTATTTTTACACTATTTGTTGGTTGAATAGAATTACTGAGGTGAAATGGTGGTCACTCTACTTGTATCATTTCCTAGTTATTTAGAGTTTATTAATATCTGCTGTTATGTCTGTCTATCTGAAATTGCTTCATCAGCTTCTTCATCAAGGTGGACCAAATAAACCCTTCAAAGTGGGCATTTAGAAGCTCTGGAGTCAGATGTATGTGTCTGTGTGTGAAGACAACTCATCTCCAATTGCACAGAGTGGTAGTGGAGGCGTTCTATTTATTTCAATTACCACCTTTAGGCAAGAATCAATAAACATAACAAATAAAAACATCTTTGCAAAAATGCTTGCAATACAAATGTAGATTTTTATACCAGATTTTTCATTTTTGTTAGGAGTTTATATGTACATTCAAGCCAGAAAAAAGACTGAAAAATAATTAGCTGCTGTATTAGCAGGGACAGGTATCCTGGGAAGAGTACAGGGACGCTGCCCAGCTGTGTAGGCATGGGGTCAGGAGGGCCAAGGCGTGGCTGGAGCTGAAGTTGGCAAGGTGTGCAAAGAATAAGAAGGGCTTCTACAGGTGTGTCAGCCAGAAAAGGAAGGTCAAAGAAAGTGTACCCCCTCTGATGAGCAAGACTGTCAGACTGTAAACAACAAATGAAGAGAAGGCTGAGGTACTCAATGATTTCTTTGCCTCAGTCTTCACTGGCAGTCTCTCTTCCCACACCCCTTGAGTGGATGGACTGCAAGATGGGGACTGGAGGAGCAAAGTCCATCCTGCTGTACGAGAAGATCAGGTTTAAGACCACCTGAGGAACCTGAACATGCACAAATCTATGGGCCCTGACAAGATGCATCCCAGACTCCTGAGGGAATTGGCTGATGTAGTTGCCAAGCCACTCTCCATGGTATTTGGAAAGTCCCGGGAGTCAGGTGAAAGAAC